TGTTTTCATTTTCTTCAGCTTAAGTCTGAATTTGCATGTGAGCAATTGATGGTCTGTTCCACAATCTGCCCCTGGCCTTGTTTGACTGATAATATGGAGTTTTCCTACCATCTCTTTCTACAGATGTAGTCAGTCTGATTTCTGTGTATTCCATCTGGTGAGGCCCATGTGTATATTCATCTTTGATGCTGTTTAAAAAAAGGTATTTGAAATGAGCAAATCATTGGTCTTGCACAATTTTATCTTGCGATCTCCAGCATCATTTCTATAATCAAGGCCATATTGAGCTTTCATTCCTCTTTGTTTCCAGCCTTTGCATTCCAATTGCTGCCGATTATTAACACACCTTGATTACATGCTTGATCAATTTCAGATTGAAGAATTTGGGTAGAATTCTTCAATTTCATCCTCACTGGCTTTAGTGGTTGGTGTGTAAATTTGAATAATAGTGATATTAACTGTCTTCCCTCAGGTGCATGGATATTATCCTATCACAGACAAATGTTGTACCTCATGACAAATCTTGATATGTTCTTTCTGATGATGAATGAGATGTAATTTCTCTTCAATTTGTTATTTCCGGCATAGTAAATCATGTGATTGTTAGATTAAAAATGGCCAATACGAATCCATTTCAGCTCACTAATGCCCAGGATATTGATGTTTATGTATTCCATTTCATTTTTTTTTAAATGTGTTATTGTGAATCCATTTCATTTTTGACAATTTTCCTAGATTCATAATTCATACATACCACGTTCTGATTATTAATGGATGTTTATAGCTGTTTTTTTTCATTTTGAGTTGTGCCTCATCAGCAAATGAAGGTCCTGAAAGCTTTACTCCATTCACATCATCATAGTCAAGTCTACTTTGAGGAGGCAGCTCTTCCCCAGTCGCATTTTGAGAGGCTTCCAACTTGAGGGGCTCATTTTCTGGCACTATATCGGAGAGTGTTTCACTGCTATTCATGAGGTTTTCAGTGACTAAATATTCGGAAGTAGTTCACTTCTCTTTCTTCCTAGTCTGTTTTTGTCTGAAAGCTCAGCTGAAACCTGTCCACCGTGGGTGACCCTGCTGGTATTTAAACTACCCATGACGTAGCTTCTAGAATCACAGTAACACACAAGTCACCACACTGTTACAAACTGACAGATAAGTAGTGGTATATAAGGATAGAATAAACTATATTGTTTTATAATTCACATACTGTACTAGAAAATTTCCTGCCTTGGCAAAACAAAATCGTACTAAGATAACATGAAAAGTACTTTTGATTTTGTGTACTTACGTGTGAGAGATTGTCATTTGAAAATTGTTTTTTCATTCACAGAAATGTACTGGGAACATTCCTGCGTTGTTACACAAGTAATTTTTTGATAACAGGTAAAACTCTTGACTTCATCTACTTGAATGAGAGAAATTGTACATTGTTTTCTCATTCACAGAATGTATTGGAAATATTCCCATCCTGTAACACTAAGTGTACTTTGATAACATGAAACACCCTTTTAATTTCATTTATTTGAATTGGAAAAACTTTATATATATTTTTCTTTTAAAAATACTTTTTAATGTGAATTAGGTGAAAGTTTATAGAGCAGATAATAAATTAAAAAAAAAGTTTTTATTGTGAATTGAGTGATAGTTTACATGGGAGAACATCGGTTTTACACTCATTGTTTCATTGCAATGACTACATCATTCAACTGTATTTGTTTCTATTCCCTCTGGTTTTTTTTTTTTGGGGGGGGATGTACACAAACAAACTCAAGACTATATAATCAGTTAAACAACCAAATGGCACATTCTGCAAGCCTTCCTCCTGGCTACCAGCATATAACCTTTCTCTTTCTATGAATCTAGAGTTCTCACATGCTCCCTCTCTCCATGTCCTCATCTCTGCCTCCATCTCTGGTGTCTCTGCTCTCTGGATAGGGTCCCACACTCCACATGCTCTTCTTCCTTGATGGTCCTCGAGTACTCTGTTCATGGAATGTAAGATTAACTACTCCCCGCTTTTTGTTACAAAACTTATACCTTTACAGTTGTGACAGTCACAATTTGTCATGATAACAATTATTCACTATTGAATCATAAGAATCTTATCCCCATTTCCTTTCACCAGACCTGTCTAGACAAGATGAAAACTATTCAGTGGGGATTCTACCTTCCCCCACACCCTGTGAAACTAAACTCCCTCTTGAAATCTTGTAAGTTAGTCACTTCATGCCTTTATATCCCCCCATTTTAGGTAGCCAATGTCTAAGCTTCCTGTCCCTGTCAACCTTATATACAGAGGGGATAGGATTGATACTTGATGTGAAGACTCCTTCCCTCTCAGTTGGTATTTTGAGCTACTATATCCATAAATATGGTGGTGGTGGTGGTTATGTGCCGTGGAGTTGGTTCCGACTCATAGCGACCCTGTACAGGGTTTCTGAGGCTGTAAATCTTTATGGGAGCAGAAAGCCGCATCTTTCTCCTGCAGAACAGCTGGTAGTTTCGAACTGCTCAACTTAAGGTTTGCAGCCTGATTCATAACCACTACGCTACCAGAGCTCCTTACATTCATAAATATAGGTCAAGTTAATCAAATTGTCACAAGTTACACTTGTTTCCTTTATCAAAATTTTTTTAAAAAAATCTTCCTCTAGTCAAGTTCTGGTCATCAAACTATTGAGGCTAGGTCAAATGGGTACTATGTACAAGTTTGGGCATCCTTTTGTGTATCCCCTTACTTCGTATCAGCTGGACATGTCACTTTTGGCTCTAGCCCTTTGTGGCTATGTTCCTGTCCATGGATTCAGGAGTTCCCAGGTCTCACCACACTTTAGACCAACCATCCCTTCCTCTTCTCTTGCTCATCTCCAGGTTGATGGGAGTCTATAGAATGTGGTCGAACTCAGCCCATCTTCATTGCTTCCTTTCCGCTTCTTCCACTCACCAGTAGATCAGTGTGGTTCCCAGCAAGCTTACATGCCTGCTCATGTGCTCTCTTTGAGATTCAGTCTTGGAGGGAGGTTTGTCCTGAAGGGAATTGATTGCTTGCCTTGATGTCTCCCCAGCAAAAAACTTGCTTGCTCTTGTAGTAGCCAATCAGACTGCCATTTTTTTTTTGATTTTTCCTGCTCTTTCTTTCAAGAAGTATCTTCTGTTCCTCTAGCTGTTCCAGGCTGGTCTGCTTGTTCTTTCAAGTGGGAATGTCCTACTTCAGAAGGTTCTGGATGGAGCTTAGGATTCCACCTATTATCCTATACACTACAAAGGTTTCACAAGAAGCCTGCAGATAATAAGTTTCATACTCAACAAATCATACGTACTTCATTTCATCTCACTGATTGCAATCCCCTCAATGTGACATCACTTAGCACACACTTGCTCCCTGGACTTCTTGTTTTCCTTCCTCCTTTTTCCTAACCCTTCTGAACTTTGTCCGTGGGCAAATGCTGGCCTTTTGATCTCAACTGAACTCACCTCCATTGCTCAAATTCTATCAATAGATAGATTTACAAGGAAAACAACAACACTATGAGGTATACACACCATAGACTTGTCAATCATTTGAGAAACTACATTGTTTTGTAATTCACAAAATGAATGAAAAAATTTCTTATGTTTGCAAAATTGTGTTGAAATAACATGAAAGACACTTTTGACTTTGTGTCCCTAAGGGAGAAACTGCACATTGTTCTCCAATTCACACATTGTACTGGGAACTTTCCTGTCCTTGTAATACAAAGAGTACTTTCAAAACATGTAAAACTTTAAAACAAAAAAACCTTTCCCTTTTTCTTATTTTTTTCTTATAGTTTGAAAGTTGAGCCATTGGACTGAGCTCAGTTTTAGATCTGCAGTGTGGCTAAGGGCTAAAGGCTTGGGACTCCATCAGTCTCTATCAAAACAGTAAGACTGACCTTTTCTATGGTTTTGAGATTTGTTCCATATTTATCTCCTACTCTAGCCAGGACCTCCTATTGTGATGACTTTCAGAGCAGTTGGCAGTGATAGCTCTTCTAGTTTTCCAAATCTTAGGGTCATTAATGTCCTTTGGACAAATTGTTTTCATGAGTCTCATATATATTTATATTTATATATGCAATGTTGTTGGTATTGTTGTGTGCTGTCGAATTGTTCTGATTCACAGTGACCCTACAATGACTGGTGGATTTGAACTGATGACCTTGTAGTTACTAGTCCAGTGTTTGGCCTAGGGCACCACCCCAGGGTTCATATGCAATGTATATATTACATAGCCCCTGATTATATATATATATATATAATAGTCTATCTTTACCTATCTATCATCTATCAATTAATCATCTATCTATCATCTTGTTATCTAATTTATCTATCCAAAGCATGTAAATGTATGTGTATATGTGTGAATGACAGTGAAAATACTAAAATATTTGCTATTTTATTTTCTCTTTGAAGTAGAAGATAAGGTCTTCTTCCATATGTAAAGGGAAAAGTGATGAAGATTGAGGAAGGAGGTGAAAATCTGGAACACCCCCTGTGGAGACGTTGACTTGGGATATGAACATAGATCTCTAGGTACCATGGAGGGTTCTGTTTCTATCAGAGAGCATGAATTTGTGATGGCCCCAAGTTGTATGATCCTGGGATCTCACTGCCTTGATGGAGGAATGAAGACACATGTTTCATAAGAAGGGATGCTTTGGGCTTCAATCAGCAGATCCCTGACTCAACATGGCTTCATAATAGGGATTTGTTTGTCTCATATAACAAAAACGTGCAAGGGTTGGTTCAGCAACTCAATAATGTCCAAAAAGTCCAGATTATTCCCATATTTCCAATCTTCTACTCTTAGTTTTTTAATTATAACTTTCTTCTAAGTATCATATTATTGTATGGCAGCATCAATGTAGGAAGTCATGGACAGGCTTGAATGTGCCTTTGTTTTTATCAATGAAAAAATATCTTAAAGCAGGCTTTTCTTACATGTCATTGGCTAGAAGTTGTCCAAATGTTCATCATCAAGCCATCTATAACAAATGGGAATGAGATCACCATGGTTAGCTTAAACCAGAATTTCTCAATCTCAGTACTATTATTTGGGGATGAATAACTGCTTGCTGGTGGGATTTCCTATGCATTGTATGATCTTTAGGAGCATCCCTGGCCTCTATCTACAATGTACTAGCAGCACCATCCCAGTCATGACTGTAAAGAATGTCCAATGTCAAATGTCTTTGTGGGGAAACCACCTACAGTTGATAACTGATGGCCTACACCAATCTCAAACGACCCTCTAGACCTAGACACATTACATTCTCAAATATGAGAATAATCAAGGTTTCTGCTAAGAATCCACAGTGCTTACCATAGTTGAATTGGTCTTGAGTTGAGTGATTATAAATGATTCTGGGTATGTAGAAATGGACACATAAGTACGAAATGGAATCAGAAAAAAAGTTAGCAAAGTTATTGAAAATATAGGAGAGAATTCTTTGATGTGGTGGATCATGAAATTTAGGCTGAATAAGAAAGGAAGTGAAGCTCATAATTTGGGAGAAGCTGATGGTTTGCAGGGCTGCATGAGTTTAAAGAGCAAGTTTAGGAGACGTGAGAGTAAGAGCTAGATGAAAGACCTTGAAAGGAGGCCTCCCCAGTTACAAAAAAACAAGGAAGTATTTGCACTGGTCATAATCCAGGTGGAAAAAGGAAGCAAGAACAGCTATGGATGCAGATAAATCTGTAAGGGAAGTCAGGAAGTTGAGTTTCTTATTGCTGGTGTTTATTTTCTCTTTAAAGAAGAAGAAATTTTTTTCTGTGGAGAAAGAGAAAGGAATTTGCTAGCTCTCTACTCACATCTGAACACATCATAGCAAGGAGAAATCTAAATCTACACGCTTATATCAGGATCCTATTATACAGAACGAACACTTTAGGAAGTAAAGATCAAATATTTTATCCAAGGATGACATGTATAGTGAATTCCCTCACCTCCAATTTATTCTTCATGATGCAAACTAAATTCACAGAGTTGAATGTTCTAATTTTAATATTTTCTCTATTTGTTCTGAAAGACTCCCAACCTCCCAAAATAGAGATGTTTAGATTAAATGTGGATATAAGGATAAAACAATAAAAACTGAGTAAAAGGCAGGAATGTGTTAAAGCCAGAGAGCTTAATTCAGCAGAAATAGATGGCATGCTCTCTCAGCATTTAGAATCCTAGGGTAGGTGTGGTCTTTTTAGCTTATATTGGGAGCACTTTTCAATAACCCAGGATAAAGAATTACTCTCTTTGAAAAATGTTCAACTATGTTGATGTTGTTAGGTACCGTCGAGTCGGTACTGACTCATAGCGACCCTATGCACAACAGAACGAAACACTCCCCAGTCCTGGGCCAACCTCACAATTGTCACGCTTGAGCCCATTGATGCTGACACTTTGTCAATCCATCTCACTGGGGGTCTTCCTCTTTTTCTCTGACTCTCCACCTTACCAAATATGATATCCTTCTCCAGCGACTGGTACCTCCTGACAAAATATCCAAAGTATCAAAGACAAAGTTTGTCCATCTTGGCCTCCAAAGAGCACTCTTCCAACACAGATCTTCACTTCTTCCAACACAGATCTGTTGGTTCTTTTGGCAGCCCATGACACTTTCAATATTCTCTTCCAACACTTATAATTAACTCAAAAGGAAAGACTTATAAATAACTCAAAAGCATCAATTCTTTTATGGTTTTCCTTATTCACCATCCAACTTTCACATGCATGTGAGGTTATTGAAAATACCATGACTTGGGTCAGGCACACCTTAGTCCTCATAGTATCCCACTGAAAGTTTCAACACTCTGGATGTTTTTTATAAAGAAAGGATAGACTCAAAGCCCCATGAATGCAGTAATTGTGTTGGTCTTTTTCCTTTCTGTAAGCCTACCAGAACGCCTAACACATTGTAGAACTTAGCAAGTATTAATTTTGCTTCTCATCAGTTACAGCCTTGTTTAGAAGTCTTGTTTAGATATTGTAGCAGCGCAGGAACATAGTTTTGTGTAGTCTTGGCAAAAGACACAAGAGTCACTGTGTGCAGGAAACCTAAAGTTATGATTTCCCTCTAGGAATTTATGACTCATTGTCTGGCAATTTATTAGTCAAGCATAACTTTAATCATACATAATGCTGTCTGATTACACAGCTGACCTTCCTTGTTTGTCAAATTTCCAAGAGATTTACAGATCAAGAAAGCTAAACAAAGGTCAGATTTTTTCTGTAGAGAAAGAGAAAGGATTTTGTTAACTCTCTACTCACATCTTGTACTTGGGGAGGGGTGGGGCACGTGTAAGAGATTCTTTGAATTAAACTTAAAAGAGAAAAATTAAACCTACATTTTAAAAAGAGAAACTCATAATTTTAATTTGATATTTTCCCTTTTCAAAGATTCACTCACCTTTGTGTTTCCCCAGTGGTAAGTAATCCTCAAACTAAATGTCCATATTTCCTTGTGGGGGCCCATTCACTGGAGTATGGACAGTTTGAGAGTCTCTGGGAGACCACAGTCATGTTTATAGGCCAAGTTCAGTTGTCTGTACCTATCATGATTTTCTCCTGATTGAAAATAATGAAACCTGATGCTCATAAAAATTTTTTCTGATTACTCGACAGCTCTTAAGACTTGTTTTCTGGCCTCTATTCATCTTGGTCCTTTTGGAAGGACTTATAATTAATTTGCCACCCTTCCAGTGCAATGGCCAAGCACTTGGCTGCTAACCTAAACATCAGCAGTTTGAACCCTCCCAGTGGCTCTGTGGGAGCAAAGACTTAGTGATCTGCTCCTGTAATGACTGTTGTTGTTGTTGAGTACCGTCAAGTCAATTCCAACCCATAGTGACCCTGTGTAGGGTTTCCAAGGAGTGACTGGTGAGCTTGAACCACTCACCTTGCTATTCAAAGGACTTTGCAGTCCAGTGCATTAACCCACAGCACCACATCAGGACTCCAATGATTTCAGCATAGACAACCCTACAGGGGACAGTTCTACTGTGTCCTGTAGGGTTGCTACGTGTCAGAACAACTTGATGGCACACACACAATTCTAATAAAATACATGTTTCTTTAGTGACTGCAGTATAGCTTGTCACTGCTGAGGAAAATCACAAATTATCTTAAGAAATAAAGAACGTGATTCATCAGCATTTTCTTAGTGTAAACCAAGTATTCTGAGGCTCTTTGGTGATTCTGTAGTGGATGTGTACTTGAAAAACATGAATTGGAACATGATAGGAAGAGATTTTATGGATTTAGAGCTTTGGAGCCCTTCTTGTTCATTCACACATACCTTCTTTCTAAATCAACCAAACCAAACTGCCACCAAGTTGATGCCGACTTCTGAGGCTACAAATCTTTATGGGATCAGAAAGCTTCATTTTTCTCTTGCAAAATGACTGGTGAGCTTGAACTGCTGACCTTGTGGTTGGCAGTCCAATGCTTATTCTACAGTACCCAGGGCTACTTACACATACTTCCTTGTTGTTAAGTGCCGTCAAGTCGGTTCTGACCGATAGCGACCCTGTACAGCGTTTCCGAGGCTGTAAATCTTTACAGGAGCAGAAAGCCTCATCTTTCTCCCATGGAGCGGCTGGTAGTTTCAAACTGCTGACCTTAAGGTTCGCAGCCCAATTCGTAACCATCATGCTATTTTATTTCTTCTCTCCAAATGGGAAAATAAGAAAGAACTGTGAAGATAAGTCTCATTCAGATCATGCTGGAAGCTCATTTCTTGGTGCATTGAGTCTGAGTTAGCTCAATGGAAGAACAGCCACATACCAGCAACTGAGTTCCAGAAGTCTCCCCTTTCTAACAGGGTCATTTACTCCCCAGGAAAGTCCCATTATTCCCTCCATGCCTCCCTGATAGTGAGGTAGAGCATCTGGATACTATTATGCTTTTAAGTCTCCCCTATAGGGTTCTACTTTATTTTTAATCTTTTAATGATTAATTGAATGAAGGTTTCCAGAGCAAATCATCAGTTTTACATTCAACAAACCATACACTTCATTTCATCTCACTGACTGTAGCCCCCTCCATGGAACATGACTTATGTCACTTCCTTCTGGGTTTCTTGTTTCTAGTCCTCCTTTTTCCCCAACTCTTCTGAACTTTGTCATTGTGTAAATGCTGTCCTTTAGAACTTGAATGGTGACTGTTCATTCTATGGTGTACGGACCTCACTGGTGTTGCTCCCCCTATATACCTGTCATTACTTTGTTGAAAATTAAGCCAAAGGGGTAAATTCAGTTCCAGGCCTGAAGGGTGAGCAAGGGCTGTAGTCTCAAGTTTCTACTAGTCTCTGTCTGACCGGTCAGACTGGCCTTTTTATTTTATTTTATGATTTTGAGTTTTGGTCCACATTTTTTCCTACTCTATCCAGGACCTTCTAATGTTAGGATTCCACTTTAAATGGATGCCACATGGTATTGGTAATGCTTTATCCGTGCCTGTTTGCATAATGCTAACATACACAATATTGTGAAGATTGGGTATTCCAGAACACTTAATTATGCTCATTAGGAATCTGTACATAGACCAAAAGGCAATTGTTAGAATAGAGCAAGGGGATACTAAATTGTTTAAAATCAGGAAAGGCATACACCAAGGTTGTATTCTTTTACTATACTTATTCAATCTGTATGCTGAGAATATAATTTGAGAAACTGGATTATATGAAGAAGGATGAGGCATCAGGATTGGATTAAGGCTCATTAACAACCTGGGATATGCAGATGAACAACTTTGCTTATAGGAAGTGAAAGGGACTTAAAATATTGATGAAGATCAAAGAGTACAGCTTTCAATATGGATTGCACCTCAATGATAAGAAAGTAAAAATCCTCATAACTGGACCAATAAATAACAATATGATAGACTGAGAAAAGATTGTTGTTATCAAAGACTTCATTTTGCTTGGATCCACAATCAACACTCATGGAAGAAGCAGTCTAGAAATCAAAGGTTGTATTGCATTAGGCAAATCTGATGCACAAGACCTCTTTAAAATGTTCAAGAGCAAATATATCAGTTTGAGAACTAAGGTGTGCCTAACCCAAGCCATGCTATTTCCAATCACCTCATGCATGTGAAAGTTGAACAATGAAAATGTGGACCATAGAGGAACTGATGCATTTGAATTACAGTGTTGGAGAGAATATGAAATGTATCACAGACTGCCAGGAGAACAAACCAATCTGTGTTGGAAGAAGTAAGCCAGAATGCTTCTTAGAAGCCAGGATGACAAGACTGTATTTATCATATTTTGGACATGTTACTAGGAAGGACCAGTCCTTGAAGAGGAACATCATGTTTGGTAAAGAAGAGGATCTGTGACAAAGAGGAGCTGCCTTGACTCAGTGACAGTAGCAATCGGCTCACGAGTAACAACAATTGTGAGGATGGTGCAGGACTGGCAGAGTTTGATTCTGTTGTGCAGAGAAACACTATGAGTTGGAACTGAGTCGATGGCACTTAACAACAGCAACAAGCTATACAGAAGTTGTCAAGTATTATCAGTGAGCAGCAAAGAGTAACCGAAGAATATGGTAAGAATGAGCGATATAAGCCAGGTATTTAAGTCAGGAATGTAACTCTTCCCTCTATCCTTCATGAAAGGAGCTTAGTATTAAGACAACAGGAGAAAGTTAGAGACATCAAAGAAGTGAAACATTAGAATAAGCCACAAGTCTTACCTCGCTGGTTTTATGTCGGGTTTGTGTGGTGGAAAGTGTGTGAGTCTCAGTCTCAGATTTTGATTTCACAATCTCTCTGAACCACTTTTGATATTGCTTCCAGACCTGGAATATCAAAGGAAATACCATGATGATTTTTATTAACATTGGCCAAGAGGAGAAATGCCAGCATGTCAGAAAAAGACACTTATTTTCCCCAACTTTTTTATTATGAATGGAGTGAAGGTACACAGCAGGTCATCAATTTTGCTTCATTACATGGTTGCAATCCCTTCCATGTACCAATTGTTGTTGTTGTTAAGTGCCATCGAGTCGGTTCCAACCCATAGTAACTCTCTATAGGGTTTCCAAGGAGCATCTGGTGAGCTTGAACCACTGACTCTGTAGTTCAAATGGCTTTGTAGTCTGGTGCATTAACCCACAGCGCCACACCAGGACTCCATGTACCAATAGTCAACAGTATTTACCTCTATTCACTTTATCTATTGCATTCCTCCCTGTGTCTTTTGCTACCTTCATGGTTCCTCTGCCAACCTCCCTCTTGTATATTGCCAGCCCTGTCATCCATGTTAACATGAAGACATTTATTATTAAAAGACTTCTCATATTATAGAAAGGTCCCTGGGTGATGCAAATAGTTTGGGCCCACCTGCTAACTGATTTGAACTCATTCAGTGGCACTGGACAAGAAAGGCCTGGCTACCTACTCCCATAAAGATTACAGCCAAGAAAATCCTATGGTGCTCAAGTATGTCCTGGAATGCATGTCACCAGGAGTCAGAATTGACTGCATAACATTTTTTTTTGGTTTCCTATTACAGAAAACACCTTTGTTATAAAAAAAAATGAGAGCTATGCATATGTGAAGGAGCTCTGGTAGCGTAGTGGTTACGAATCGGGCTGCGAGCCTTAAGGTCAGCGGTTCGAAACTACCAGCCGCTCCGCGGGAGAAAGATGAGGCTTTCTACTCCCGTAAAGATTTACACCCTCGGAAACCCTGTACAGGGTCGCTATGGGTCGGAACCGACTCGACGGCACTTAACAACAACAACAACAACAACAATGCATATGTGAAAGTAAGACAATAGAAGTCATATATAACTCTTCAATCTAGAGAAACCTACTGATAATGTTTTGGGGTGCCCCAGAAGAGTTGAAGTGACACAAGACTTCAAGTGTATGAAGTTCATTTAGGTGCTGATAGAGGTAAGAGAAGGCAGACAGTAAAGGATGTGTTTCTATCAAGGACTTATTTTCTGTGGGCAACCAAGGTTCAGTTCTGTTGGGGACCTCAGGGAGAAAGCTTAGGGCATGCACTTCAGAGTTAACCTACTTGTGGGATGGGAGAATGGAAACGGAGGGAAGACTAGATTGAAGTCTTCTGCATTGGGCTCACTCAGGTGCATATCCATTAAGAAGAGTTGCCTGCTTATTTCTTTGGCTGAACAATTAAATTACATTTGCTTATAATGATATGGATGAATGAATGGAAAGAGGGAAAAATAAATGGATAGCTGTGTAATAATGCAAATATGACACAATATTCATTATAGAATCTAGGTGTTAACTACACAGTTCTGCTAACTTTCTTGTACATTTGAAAATGTTCATAACAAAATGTTGGAAATTACCTTATGTGATTTCACTATCAAACTGTTTAAACATACTAGTGTGGAGACTATGTCAACACATGAAATATGTTTAAGAAATCTGTTAAATGGTAGGATAAAATTGCATTATCTATCTCAATACTTCACTCTACTGTGGTAGTATTATAACCTTGCCCTTGTCTCATGGTGGGTGGAACTTCATTTTGCTTGGCTCCACCATTAATATTCATGGAAGCAGCAGTCAATGAATCAAATGACATACTGCATTAGGCAAATCTGCTGCACAAGACCTCTTTAAAGTGTTGAACAACAACGATGACAGTGTGAGGATTATGGTGTACCTGACCTAAGCCATGGTATTTTCAAACACCTCATATGCATGTGGAAATTAGACAAGGAATAAGGAAGACCACAGAAGAATTTGCATTTGAGTTATGGTGTTGGAGGAGAATATTAAAAGTACCATGAACTTCCAGAAGAACAAACAAATCTGTGTTGGAAGAAGTATAGCCAGAATGTTCCTTAAAAGCCAAGATGGCCAGACTTCATCTCTCATACTTTAGACCACACCCTGGAGAAGGACATCATGTTTGGTAAAGTGAAAAAGAGGGAGACCCTTAATGAGATGGACTAGCAAAGTTGCAGCAGCAATGGGCTCGAGTGTGAGGTTGGCACAGGACTGGGCAGTGTTTCGTTCTGTTGTGCATAAAGTCGCTATGAGCCAGAATGGACTTGATCATACCTAAAAACAACTTTGTGTTTAGTCATGTGACTTGCTTTGACCAATGTAATATGAGCAGTGGTGATGTAAGCAGAAGACTGAAATGACCTAGCCCAGCTAGTAGGGCTTGCCTTCCTGTGCCAAGATCTAGAATGAACTTCAACCCACCTGTTGACCCAGGATGTAACAAATTGTAACAAATATCCTAAAAAAACCATTGAGTTTTTTTAAGGATATTTGTTACACAGCAACAGCTGACTATTAGAAATTGAAAAGCTGAAGAAAAACATCATAGTTCCTTAATGTAGCAATTAGTTGTTTTCTGAAAATCTTTCGATCTTAAAATTAGAGAAAATATAGTCTTTACATACTGATTACAAACAAACCCAGATAAAAATTCAGGGAAGACAACTTGAATTGTTCATTAATATTGGTATCTCCACACTTTTCTTAATTTTAAACAATAAAAGGTCAATGTTTACCTGTTGGCTAAAGAGGCAGTACACCAGGAAGATGAAGATGCCCTGCAGGCTGTTGACAATGGTGAAGAGGTAGGTCATGACCCGAGCAGCTGAGCCCACTTGCAACATGCCTAGACACCATGTGCAGCCCAGGATGAAGAGCTGAGCTATTGCTTTGAATGTCAGCATCCTAAGGGGAGTCAGAAATGATGATGTTAAAAACCTAATAATAGGTTGTGTGTCAGAGTCAGTTCAGATTCATAGCGACCTTGTATAGAGTTTCCAAGGCTAAAAATCTTTATAGGAGCAGAAATCCTCATCTCTCTTACGGGTGGGCAACTGATAGATTTGAACTATCACCTGTGGTTAGCAGCCAGATCATAACTCACTATGCTACCAGAGCATACTAGTATGGTAGCTCTTCTGGTGCTATACTTCTTAGGTTTAAATCCAAGTCCAGGCACTAACTAACTGTGTGAACTTGATCAGGTCACTTGACTTTTCTGTAACTCAGTTCCCTTACCTTTGTCATAGTCCTACCTCAGAGGGTTGTTGCAAAGATTAAATGAGAATTTAATATATATGTAAAACATAGGATAATATCTGGAACAAAATTAGTACTGTATATATGTAAAGCATTTTAAAACTGGGTGTTTTCTCTCTTTAAATAGGGTCAAAAGGGGTGTTGTAATAATCACAATGGGTCAGCAGTCATAAATTGGAGATGTCTCAGGCAAACGAAGATTTATGGCCACGCTACTTAGCTTGTGTAGGTTCTCATCAATTGTGACAGTGGGAGATTACAATGGACTTACTAGTCCCTGGAGCCTAAATATAGGATTGTTGTTGTAGTTTTTACGTACCATTGAGTTGGTACCGACTCATAGAGACCATATGCACAGCAGAACAAAACACTGCCCGATCCTGGGCCAACCTCACTACTGTTGTCACGCTTGAGTCCATCATTGCTGCCACTTGGCCAATCCATCTTGTTGGGGGTCTTCCTCTTTTTCTCTGACCCCCCACTTTACCAAACATGACCTCCTTCTCCAGTGACTGGTCCCTCCTGACAATATGTCTGAAGTATGAGAGACGAAGTTTGGCCATCTTGGCCTCCAAGAAGCACTCTGGCTGCATTTCTTCCAAAATGGATCTATTGGTTCTTTTGTCAGACCATGGCACTTTCAAAATTCTCCTCTGACACCATAACTCAAAAGCATCAATTCTTCTATGGTCTTCCCTATTCACTGCCCAGCTTTTGCATGTATATGAGGTGATTGAAAATACCATGGCTTGGGTCAGGCACACCTTAGTCCTCAAGGTGACATCTTTGCTCTTCAACACTTTAAAAAGGTCTTGTGCACCAGATTTGCCTAATGCAATACACTGTTTAATTTCTTGACTGTTGCTTCCATGAGTGTTGACAGTTGATCCAAGAAGAATGAAGTCCTTGACAACTTCAATCTTTTCTCCATTGATAGGAATGTTGTTTATTGGTCCAGTGGTGAGGATTTTTGTTTTCTTGACATTGAGATGTAATCCATACGGAAGGCTGTGCTCTTTAATCTTCATCAGTAAATGTTTTAAGTCCTCTTCACTTTCAGCAAGCAAGGTTGTATCATTTGCATATCATAGGTTGTTAATGAGTCTTCCTCCAATCCTGATGCCACATTTTTCTTCATAGACCCCAGCTTCTCAGATTATTTGCTCAGCATACAGGTTGAATAAGTATGGTGAAAGAATACAACCTTGTCACACACCTTTTTTCATTTAAACCATTCAGTGTTCCCATGTTCTGTTTGAATAACTACCTCTTGGTCCACGTACAGATTCCTCATGAGCACAATTAAGTGTTCCAGAATACTCATACTTTGCAATGTTGTCCATAGCTTGTCGTGATCCACACAATCGAAAGCCTTTGCGGATATATGTGGATGTATGTAAATGGGGTGGGTGTATGTATATGGGGAAATGTAGGAGGGAGGAGTATTGGGGGTAAGTATATAAAGAGGGGGTGAGAAGTACCATTTGTCCAATCTTACTTTGTATTCTGGATGGTTGACACTTCATTATTGAGGGAAGAAAGCTTCCTTTTCAAAATCCAAAAGACCAAGAGAAGAAAAACTAAATTTACCTGCAATGACACAAAGAGTGCAGAAAGCAAGTTAAAATATTTATCATGTCTGTTGACTGAAGTTGTATATTTAAAGAAACAAATGAAAAAACAACAAAGAGCAGCTCAGGCTGCTTATGTACCACAAAACACCTCAAGGAATTTGGTTACTTGGTTTGGAGGTTGATAGTTTCATGGGTGATTCTAGTTAATTGACCCAATACTGTATTTCATGATATGTTCTACTTCCTAGTTCACTGTGTAGTACCTGCAGTCTTAAAAGCTTACAAGAGGCTGTTCAAGGTACAATGCTGTTAACTGCCATCAAGTTGGTTCTAACTCATAACGACTTTGTATAGGGTTTCCAAAGCTGTAAATCTTTTCAGGAACAGAAAATCCCATCTTTCTCTTGAGGAATGGCTGGTGGGCTTGAACTTCTGACCTTGCGGTCTGCAGTCTAGTATTTGTCCTACAGAGACACCACACTGCCCCAAGGTACAATAATTGGTCTCTACTAGTGTAGTCGTTATGAATTGGGCTGCTAACCTCAGGGTCAGCAATTTGAAACTACCAGCTGTTCCATGGGAGAAAGATGAGGCTTTCTGCTCCCGTAAAGATTTACAGCCTCAGAAACCCTGCACAGGGTTGCTCTGTGTCAGAACTGACTCCATGGCACTTAGCAACAACAACCTGGAGCAGCAGAGGAAGAAAGCAACTAAGGAATTGGAGGAGGAACTACAACTGCAGGTCTAATTGTATCCATGACATCTGCCTCCTTTGCCATGAGACCCAATTGAATGGTGCCCCGCTACGATTACTGAATATTTTGATCAAAAATTCTTTAGCAGAATTCTGATCAGAAGGGGTGAAATGGAGAATGTTTAATTCCTATGGAATCCAGGCTTTCTGGAGTCGTGGAGGGTGGATGAACCCCTGAAACTATGGCCCAGAGATAATCTTTAAACTTTACATTAAAAATATCCCCTGAGGTCTTGAAGCCAAACAGTAGTTTAGCTTCATGAGTAAAGAATGCCTTGAGCGTGTGCCCTTTTAAGAACTATCCATGTGTGGTCAAATTTACAACAGCGACTCAAAGGATTAGATGGGAAACTTGGGGGAAAATGAGTTTAGGTTAATGGGGGAGAAACAACTCAGAAAAGGGGAGTGAGTTCAAGCTGCACAACTTAAAGAATGTGTTCAATGTTTGTGCAGAAATTGTTGAATTGTTGAAATATTGGTGTATATTCTCAACAACAACAAATAAAATAAATGAAAAAATATGTGACATGTATATTGCGAGTTGCATGTAACTTCTACTTCCTTGGGTTTGAATAGTTAGCAGCTAGAAAATCAAACCATACACCTGAGAAAATGTCTCAGGTATGACTTTGCTCCTAATACTTGTGGAGGTTCTTCTTTGGCCAGGAACACTGTAGCCCACATACTCACACAGATAATGGCACAGACGGGCCCAAGGAAACCCCAGATGAATCCCTCAGCCAGTTGTAGCCAGCACCTAGAAAAAAGTGAGACAGTGACACAGGGAAGATTAGAAATGAACATAAAATGGCACCGTTCCAACAGAGTACTGAAAATAGCAGTTGATACTACCATGTGTTACTACGAAGCCAGTTGCTAACCAGTAGATTCTAATTCATGGTGATCTCAGGTGTGTCAGAGTAGAATTCTGCACGACAGGGTTTTCAATGGCTGATTTTTCAGAAGTGGATTGTGAAGCATTTTCCCCAAGGTGCCACTGTGTGCCAAGGTTTGAGTTAGCCACTGAGCATGTTAATAGTTTGCACCACCCAAGGACTCTGTATCAGTACTAGGTTAAGCGTTTTGCAAACACAGTCTTCGTTAGGGATTGAATTGTGTCCTCCTAAAAGATATGTTGTAAGCCCCAATCCTTGCACAAGCAAATGTACCCTTGTTAGGAAATAAGGTCTTTGAAGATATTATCAGATAACATGAGGTCATACTGGACAAAGCTGTAATCCAGTGAGTGGTGTCCTTGTAAAAGGGGAGAAGAGACACAGATGGGCCATAAGACTAAAGAGGTAGAGATTTTAATATATCTAAAAGCCAAGGAGCTCTTGTAGTGTAGTGGTTACGAATTGGGCTGCAAACTGCAAGGTCAGCAGTTTGAAACTACTAGCTGCTCCATGGGAGAAAGATGAGGATTTCTGCTCCCGTAAAGATTTACGGGATTTGCTTGCTGAAAGTGAAGAGGACTTGAAACATTTACTTATGAAGATCAAAGAGCACAGCCTTCGATATGGATTACATCTCAATGTCAAGAAAACAAAAATCCTCACCACTGGACCAATAAACAACATTCTTATCAATGGAGAAAAGATTGAAGTTGTCAAGGACTTCATTCTTCTTGGATCAACTATCAACACTCGTGGAAGCAGCGGTCAGGAGATCAGACGACGTATTGCACTGGGCAAATCTGCTGCATAGGAACTTTTTAAAATATTGAAGAGCAGAGATGTCAGCTTGAGGACTAAGGTGCGCCTGACCCAGGCCATGGTGTTTTCAATAGCCTCATATGGATGCGAAAGCTGGACAGTGAATAAGGAAGATCGTAGAAAATTGATGCCTTTGAGTTGTGGTGTTGGAGGAGAATACTGAAAGTGCCATGGGCTACCAAAAGAACCAATAGATCTGTTTTGGAAGAAGTGCAGCCAGAGTGCTCCTTGGAGGCCAGCATGGCTAAGCTTTGTCTCTCCTACTTTGGACATATTGCTGGGAGGAAACAATCGCTGGAGAAGGATGTCATGCTGGGTAAGGTGGAGGGTCAGAGAAAAAGAGGAAGACCCCTAACGAGATGGATCAGCCAAGTGGCATCATTGATGGACTCAAGTGTGGCAAGTGGTAGTGAGGTTGGCCCAGGATCGGACATTGTTTTGTTCTGCTGTGCATGGGGTCGCTATGAGTCAGCTCCGACTCAATGGCACCTGACAACAACAACAACAACAAAGATTTACAGCCTCGGAAACCCTGTACAGGGTCGCTATGGGTCAGAACTGACTGGATGGCACTTAACAACCACAACAAAAACAAAAGCCAAGAAATGCCACAAATTGTAAGGAATCACTTGAAGCTGGAAGAGACAAGAAAGGATCCCCCACTAGAGCTTTCAGAGAGACTCTTGCTAACATCCTAATTTTGGATTTGTGGCATTTAGAACTGTGATAAAATAAATTTCTGTTGTTATAAGTTGCTTACTTTGTGGTATTTCATACAGCAGTCCTAGGAAACTAATGCTGTCTTGCTGAATTTCCACACCAGTATTATGAGGTTGGGACTGTGGGGATAACTATTATTCCTGTTTAACAAAGGAAGGGGCTCAGGTTTGAAAACTCAAGGTTCAAGAGCATGGGAGGGACAGAGCTGAGATGTTGCCACAGAACTCTCCCTCCAGAACCCACACTTACCACCATCTTATCTGTCTCCCTGCAAAAGGGGTTAGAGCTGATATAAAGGGGAATGTGGAGTAAATTTGATATGTATATTCCAATCATCATCGTTAGCACCACTTCCAAAAAGCTTTCAGGAAATTTGAACTGTCCATGGCATGGGGTGGACTTTGCATTTACCAGGCAGATGTTCCATAAAGGTGAGGCTTGGATGCTGCAGAAATTGCCACAATCACAGCTGGGACTCCATAGCCCACAGGGAACATGACCTTCTTCATGTGTTTGCTCACACTGGAGTAGTTGACCACGGTCAGGTTTCTTGCAGTGAGGAAGAGGTGCAGGCCCTCCAACAGCATCCAGGTGAAGGCGGCCAGGTAGAGGTAGTGTAAGGCACCAGCGATGATGGCACACAGCACCTGGGGGAGGAGGGAGAGTGAGTCATCACGAGGGGCTGTCAGAGTGGAGTGCAGCCCAAGAACCTCTCTTTCACCTTGGCATTGAACTTAGAGCACCTGACATTAGACCAAGGTCATCAAAAGTAAAGCCATTTGATAGTCAAGCACTACTCACCTTGGCACTAACTCTTCCAATTTCCCTTGGGCCCAAGGACAGTTTAGCAGGGTATCAAGAATAGCTTGGTTCCATGAGCTCATCCTCTCCTAGGCAGGGCAGAGAGTCCTTAGGGACATTGTCCGTACCTTGGGCTCAGTTTGGTTGATCCCGATGAGGAAGAGGAGGTGGGCCAGGAAGAGGCAGAGTGAGAGATGCAGGTGGAGTGAAGTGCTGATGTTCTGGATGGCTTTACACAGGAGGAAGGTGAGGGCTGCCAGGAAGAGGCACAGCAGAGAGAGGCCCAGCCCTACATAGGTGATCACAGTCAGCAAGGGATCGTCCTCCTGGGGCCAAGTAAAGAGATGTTCACAGTCACACTCTCCTATGGATGACAGTGTTCCCCTCTTGCAATGGGGCATTCCAAATATGAGGGGGCTTCAAAAAGTTCATTGATAAGTGTAATTAAAAAATAATGGAATTGTTTTGAAGCTCCTCAAATGGGGGCAAAGCTTGATGATGGAGATTGTAAGACATGTTTATTGGGCTAAGGTTTACCCCCAGAGAGATGTGGGACGTCCTGTGTAGCTGAGCCCATTCCAGTATCCTCTCCACACTCAGCTGTACCTGCCCTTTGGCTCTCTGCCTGTGAACAATCTGTCTGAATGTATTTTTCCTGACACACGGGCATACTTGGACATATCAGAGCAAGTTACAAGTGCCAGGGTGTTAATGCCCCTGGAAACTACCTGCAAACAATAACAGTTGGGAAATTGGTCAACAAATAATCTAGCATCCTCATTTTTGGGTGCTAGATGTCTCTGAGGTGTGTGTTCTACTCTGTCTCCCAGAGCGACTCAGTGGGACTGAACCCCAGTTGCCCATGATGATGTTAAAACTATTTTTGCAGAGGCAAGAGTTAAAATGGCTTCTCTGAGGTAAGCACAAAATAAAAATTAGCCATATGGCTTTTACAACAAACAGTAGGTTTCAGTAGAATCAAAATGTTGTCAACTTTTCCTTATTAGCATGAATTAGCATTACTTATCAGCTTGAGTTAGCAATATTCACCCACTCAAGCTAAAGTAACTTACATTTCAGTGATCAAATTTCCCAAAACAAAAGAACATGAAATGTGATTAACCAATCAAAGCAAAGGGCAAACTACTTACTCATCTAAATTAAAAAATGGCAGTGTAAAAGTGTAAACTCGAGTCCCTTCACCATTTTCAGGTTGGGGTGCACCCTGGTCAAGAAAAGTTTTCACTCAATAAATCCTGTTGAGTCTAATTGACTTATTAATAAAACATACTCTGTTTCTATCTTCCTGTGCAGCCTCTGCTCACCCACCTGGGGTCTGGATCCAGGAGTACCACCCCGTCTCTCTTCCCACCCCTCTCCACATCTGCAGGCTCATGATTTTCACCCCTTTAGTTGTTTGTTTTTGGAATACAGCAATTGGACTTATGTGGCCCAGTCACTTTGGTACCTACTTTGGCTCCACCCCTGCTGTACTGCTCTTGTTCACTTCTCTACTGCCTGACCAATGATGATCAGCAGCCAGCATTAGATAAACTCGCCCTGCAAACACAAGTCCAATCTCTAACATACCTACCAGAAGACAGATGATAAGTGCCTGAGAATACATCAGCATACAGTCATCAATTAAATTATAAATACAATGACACCACAATGTCTTGTAGACAACAGACAATTTCAGCGTACATGAAGAAACAACAGAGTGCTTCAAACAAGTGACCAAAATACAGAGTCAGAGAATATAATACCAAAAATGGTATCAGAACTACTTGATAAGGAATTTAAAAGAATGACATTTAGGTACCTTTAATGGATTGAGAAAATGATTAAGAAAAATGCAGATGAAATCAAGGAAAACACAGATAAAACTTTAGAAGAATTCAGGGAAGTATGACAAAAACAAATTGAAAAAAAAAAAAGAAAAATTAGAAACCAAATGAAAACAGCAAATAGAAATCTAGAAGATTAAAACTAAGATTTCAAAAACAGATAATGCATTGAAAGGGCAAAGAAGTACAATAGAATCAATGGAAGTCTGAATTAGTGAGTTTGAAGAAAAATCTCTCAATACTCATCTGTTAGAAGAACAATCAGAGTCAGGGTACAGTGCTGTGGGATGAGTATTGGGCTGCTAACTGAAAGGTCAGTGGTTTAAACCCACCAGTCACTCCTTGGAAACTATATGTAGGGTTGCTATGACTCAGAACTGACTTGATGGCACTTAGCAATAACAAGAGGAACAATCAAATAGGAACAAAATAAATCCGAAGAAAGCCCAATAATTATGTGGAATGTTATTCAAGAGGAATAATTTATGTGTGATTAGAATTCCAGAACAAAAAGAGACAAAAATAAAACAAACAAACCACCAAGAAACTTGTTGAAGAGTTGTTGGAAGAAAAATTACCTAACATCATGAAAGATGAAAAGATATGCATTTAAGTAGTTGAACAAACTCCCAAAAGGACAGACATCAAAAGAAAATCACCAAGACATATTATAAACCAAGATCAGGGAAAGACATATCATAAACCAAGGATAGGGAAAGCTGAGAGCAAATTGAGAAAAACATAAAGGTACCTAAAGGGAAAAATTAATAAGATGAGGCTCTGATTTCTTGTCAGAAACCATGTCGGCAAGAAGACAATGGGATGTTGTATATAAAACTCTGAAGGAAAAACATTGCCAACTGAGAGTCATATACCTAGCAAAATTCTCTGAAATATGACAGTAAAGTTGGGACATTTACAGGAAAACAGAAGTTAAAAGAATTTGTGAAAACCAGACCAACTTTACAAAAAATACAAATTTTACTGTATCTGTGGCACTGCGGGTTAATGCGTGGTCGGCAGTTCAAGCTCACCTACCACTCGTTGGAAACTCTATAGAGGATTGCTCTGAGTTGGAACTGACTCGATGGCCCTTAACAACAGTAGATAACCCAAAGCACTACAGTTTAATTTTGTTTGTTCTTAAACTTTATATAATTAGGTCCAAATTTGGCATATTCTGTTGGGCTTTTACAGAACATAAAGTAACTACGAAAAGGAGATCTAGATGAAAACAACAATGAGATACAAGAATGACAGACATGAAAAGATTTGACAAGGATGCGGATCAATGGGAGCTCTCCTACAGTGCTAGTAGTGGTCTGCCTTAGTGTATATTTGGAACTATTTTGTCTAGTGACTGTGTTGTTAGGTGCTGTTGAGTCAGCTCCAACTTGCAGGGACCTTATGTATAACAGAATGAAAGGTTCCCTCATCCTGTGTCAAACTCCAGATAATAGGTACATTTGAGCCCATTGTTGAAGCCTTGTGTAAATTATCTAATTAAGGGTCTTCTTTTTTGCTGACCTACATTACCAATCCAATGTAAGCCAAATGCAGGGACTGTAGGACTCAGGAACTTCTCTCTGCACTAGAGGCACTCATGCATATGAGCATCATAAGGGAGAGGATGAGACCCATGTTGGGCAGGTGTAGTACCATTGATTTTAAAACAGCCCCTAAAAAAATGTGAAGTTCCAACCATTTATCCGACAGTATTCCCAACTCAGTTTTGTTCCACAGTTCACTGCAATGACCACACAGAACTCACACACCATGTTGTTGTTGTTGGTAGGTGCCAATGAGTTGGTACCACCCCATAGCAAACTTATGCACAGCAGAATGAAACACTGCCTGATCCTGGGCCAACCTCATTACCGTTGCCACACTTGAGTCCATTGATGCTGCCACTTGGCCAATCCATCTCATTGGGGGTCTTCCTCTTTTTCTCTGACCCTCCACCTTACCAAACATGATATTCTTCTCCAGCGACTGGTCCCTCCTGACAATATGTCCGAAGTATGAGAGACGAAGTTTGGCCATCTTGGCCTCCAAGGAGCACTCTGGCTGCATTTCTTCCAAAATGGATCTATTGGTTCTTTTGTCAGACCATGGCACTTTCAATATTCTCCTCCAACACCATAACTCAAAAGCATCAATTCTTCTATGGTCTCCCTTATTCACTGTCCAGCTTTTGCATGCGCATGAGGTGATTGAAAATACCATGGCTTGGGTCAGGCACACCTTAATTCTCAAGCTGAGATCTTTGCTCTTACATACTTTAAAAAGGTCTTGTGCAGCAGATTTGCCTAATGCAATGCATTGTTTGATCTCTTGACTGCTGCTTCTGTGAGTGTTGATAGTTGATCCAAGAACGAAGTCTTTGACAACTTCAATCTTTTCTCCGCTGATAAGAATGTTGTTTATTGGTTGTGTGATGAGGATTTTTGTTTTCTTGACATTGAGAGGTAATCCATACCGAAGGCGATGCTATTTGATCTTCATCAGTAAATGTTTTAAGTCCTCTTCACTTTCAGCAAGCAAGGTTGTATCATCTGCATATGGCAGGTTGTTAATGAGTCTTCCTCCAATCCTGATGCCATGTTTTTCTTCATAGAACCCAGCTTCTTGGATTATTTGCTCAATGTACAAGTTGAATAAGTATGGTGAAAGAATATAACTTTGCACACCTTTTTAAATTTAAACCATTCAGTGTTCCCATGTTCTGTTAGAAAAACTGCCTCTTGGTCCACGTACATATTCCTAATGAGCACAATTAAGTGTTCTGGAATACTCATACTTTGCAATGTTGTCCATAGCTTGTCATGATCCACACAATTGAAAGCCTTTGTGTAGTCAATAAAGCACAGGTAAACATTTTTTTGATATTCTCTGCTTTCAGCCAAGATCCATCAGCAATGATATCCCTCATTCCACGGCCTCTTCTGAATCTGGCCCGAACCTCTGAAAGTTCTCTGTCAATGTATGATTGTAGCCATTTCTGTATTACCTTTAGCAAAACTTTACTCGCATGAGATATCAAAAAGATTTTCTGATGATTTCCGCATTCTGTTGGGTCACTTCTCTTTGGAATGGGCACAAATACAGATCTCTTCCAATCATTTGGCCAGATAGTTGTCTTCCAAATTTCTTGGCATAGATGACTCCTGTGCTGCCTCACTTTCTTGAAAGATTTCAATTTTGATTCCATCAATTCCTGGTGCCTTATCTTTGTCAATTTCTTTAATGCACGTTGGACTTCTTCCTTCAATATCATTGGCCCTTGATCATATGGTACCTCTTGAAACAGTTGAACATTAACCATTTCCATTTGGTACAGTAACTCTGTGTATGCCTTCCATCTTCTCTTAATGTTTTCTGTATCATTCAATAATTTGCCCAGAGAATCTTTCAATAATGAAACTCGAGGCTTGAATTTTTTCTTCAGTTTCCCCAGTTTGAGAAATGCTGAAGAAAAT